TTCTCCCTTTCTCACAGTACAAGAACTCGTGGGCACTCAATGAAATTGCTGAGCGGTCGGGTTAGAACGGATAAAAGGAAGTCCTTCTTCACCCAGAGAGTGATTAACACATGGGAGTCACTGCCACAGGAGGTGGCGGCGGCTACGAGCATGGACGGCTTCAAGAGGGAATTAGATAAGCATATGGAGCAGAGGTCCATCAGTGGCTATTAGCCACAAGGTATAGATAGGGGCTCTGGGGCAAGTGATGCTCTGTCTTCTTGGTGCTTGGGGGGGTCAACAGTGGGAGGGTTTCTAATGTCCTGGCCCCGTTGGTGGACCTCCTGATGGCACCTGGTATTTTGGGCCACTGTGTGACAGAGTGTTGGACTGGATGGGCCTTTGGCCTGATCGAAAATTGGCGTCTCTTATGTTCTTATGAGCTGCAAATGATCACTGATTTAGAGTACAATTTCAGCCTGGCAACTGCCTTCATCCATCTAAAAGCAGTGAGTTTTATTACCATATTTTCTCCCCTTCCCCACTAAGAGAAGAAGAGAGAGAAGATATTGGATTTATACCCCGCCCTTCACTACCCAAGGGCTACAAACTCCTTTCCCTTCCCCTCCCTACAACAGACACCCTGTGAGGTAGGTGGGGCTGAAAGAGCTTTGACAGAAACTGCTCTTTTCCAAGAACAGCTCTTATCAGAACTATGGCTTGCCCAAGGTTATCCAGCCAGGTGCAAGTGGAGGAGTGGGGAATCAAACCCGGTTCTCCCAGATTAGAGTTTGCGTACTTAACCACTACACCAAACTAAACAAACATACTATCAGATTCTGGGCCACAGGAATGTAACATTTCCTTATCCCTGAATCATGGACATATGATACACAATTTGCTGAAGAATGCTTAATCACGTTGACATTATGTTCCATTAATGCATTCGATATTCATACATTATGCTATTCTACACCCAAAAGAACAAAAGCAGATTGTTGAGACTTCTGGCAAGGAGCCATGTAGCAGTGGGAGAAGCGTTGTAAAAAGGGTTGCCAGCTTCCAGGTGGGATTAAATGAAGTAGAAATACATTAAGTCCATACATGCAAGAACTCTTGAAATAAGATTCTCCTTCTGCTTGGACTTCCTTGAGGGTCACGATGTGATGATGAACCAAGGATCGTTAAACGCAACAGGCATTCAATATTTGCTGTTTCAAACTCTCTTTTTCAAGAGCTGCTGATCCTTTTAACAATGTGCCCGATAACAGCTGATTTTAATGAGAACTTTACAGACGGAACGCAGACACCTTCAAAGTCACACCAGCTCAGGGTTTAGAACACCAGGAACTATATTTGATCTCCAGATGACAGAGATCAGTTCCCCTGAAGAAAATGGCTGCTTTGGAGAGTGGTCTCCATGGCATTATGCCTTGCTGAGGTCCCCCCCTCCCCAAACCCCTTCCTCCACAGGCTCCACCCCCAAATCTCCAGGAATTTCCCAACTTAGAGTTGGCAACACTAACTGTAAATGAGAACTTGCCTGGAGTCTACAAGGAAGTGCCTATAAACCACACATGGCATGGAAGACCGAGTCAGTGCACCATTTCTCCCAGGAAGCATTGGTATTTTCCCAACATCTTTGATTCACGAGGACACTGAGATTCTTAAGAAATCAAATCATCTTCCTGAGACCACATGGAGTCAGCAAGTACTTACGATTTCCAAACAAGTTTATAGTTATCAGGCAGGGTTTGACTACTTGATGATGAAGAACTCCTCATTTACAGTGAGATTTGCATAGCAGAGTTCCACCAGGTTATCTTTGACCTCCTTGACCATTATGAGGAACGGCCTGATCTTTATTTTGCAAAAAGCCTGTAAATATTGCTCAGTATTACAGTGACATCTGTGACGTACAGATAACTATAAGCCTGGCTAAATAAAGATGCCATTTACATCGGGTCAGGCATCATGGGATTCGAACCAGGGGCTCTGGGAACAGGATCAAGACACCCGGCTTCCTCTGCCTCTTTGGTAGTTTGCCAAAGGAGGGAGCTCATAGTTTGCCTCTGCTGCTCTCCAGCGCCACCACTGTGGTGACCAGAGGATGGTACTGCAGCTGCCAGCACAGGAATATGATGAGACCATGGGTCAACACAGAAATGTTTATCATATGGCGTAGTTTGAATGTTATATAGTACAAAGAGCAAAGCGTGCTTACCTGGGCTTGCAGCAGAATTGTCAGATTTCTTCTCTGTTAACAGAAAGAAATGAGAAAAACCCTTGGCAAAAGGCTCTTCCTGTAAACATTTTGTGGGTTCAGTGGGGTTCTTCCCCAATTAGCTCTAGACCAGTGTTCCCTCTAAGCTGAGTTAATGTGAGCTAGCTCACAGTTTTTCGGCAGCCAGCTCACGCATTTTTGTCTTAGCTCAGGGAGGATGGCTCCAGAGCAACCTAATTTATGCCCTAGCCAAACTGCTCGCTCAAAACTTTAATGCCAGCAGCTCACAAAGTAGAATTTTTGCTCACAAGACTCCACAGCTTAGAGGGAGCATTGCTCTAGAGTCTAGAGTCTGTCCTAACTTGTGAGACAGAAGCATGCGTCCACCATAAGGAAGCTGCCTTATACTGAGCCAAACTATTGGTCCAGCAAATTCAGTATTGTCTACTTAGACTGGCAGCTACTCTTCCAGGGTCTTTCCCATCACCTGCTACCTGGTCCTTTCAACTGGAGATGCTGAGGATTGAACCTGGGACCTTCTGCATGTCAAATAGATAGCCTACAATTGAACCACAGCTCCTCCCCTAGCAACAGACACTGCTGCTGATACCGTCTCCTACAACAGGCAGGGCTCTGCTTCCGTTGCCATGGCAATAAAATGTCTGACTTCCCGCCTCACCACCTCTCCTGAACATGTCCTTTTCCAGGCTTGTCGGAGGAGCTGCATTGTTTCGTGGCCACGTTTGGTGCAAATAAGCACTACACTGAATCACGTGCCCTTGGGAAACCAAACTGGAGTGCCATCATCATTTTACTCGGGGTCCTGCACCTGACACCTGGCTTACCTTTGCAGTGGCCGTCATAGTCCACCTGGATCTTGGAGCCGGTGAGGCAGGCGTCGCGATGCAGCTCGCAGTGGTTCAGGTATGTCTTGCTGTTGCTGCCGCACACGGGCCTTTTGTGGGGTTTGCATTTCTTAAAAAGGAGAATAGAAACAGATTTTGGGGCTGCATCAAGGGAGGGAAGGAGCGTATAAAGTGAGGCATCTCACACAGCCTGTTTGCATTAGGAGACCCTGAGGAAGATACGAATCATGCAGACTTGGCCTACGGCTTGGAACAGGGAAGAGGAGAAGAAGAGGAGGAAGAAGAAGAAGAGGAGGAGGAGGAGGAGATTGGATGGATACCCCGCCCTTCACTACCCGAAGGAGTCTCGGAGCGGCTTACAAACTCCTTTCCCTTCCCCTCCCCACAACAGACACCCCGTGAGGTAGGTGGGGCTGAGAGATCTCTGACAGAAACTGCTCTTTTTCAAGGACAGCTCTTATCAGAACTATGGCTTGTCCAAGGTCATCCAGCCAGGTGTAAGTGGAGGAGTGGGGAATCAAATCCGGTTCTCCCAGATTAGAGTCCGCCCTCTTAACCATTTCACCAAACTGGCTCTCAGCTAGGAGAAGCTGAAGGCAGCAGGAAAAGAGGAAGACCCAACATGAGATGGAGCGACTCAATCAACGAGGCCACGACCCACAGTCGGCACAACTTGAGCAAGGCTGTTAACGACAGGACGTCTGGGAGGTCATGAATTCACTGGGTCGCCCTAAGAGAGAAGCGACTTAATGGCACCTTAACCCACCCACCCAAATGGCTAGGAAAAGACAGGAAGGTTGCAAAATTGTTGCTGCTTTTGAAACCGCCTCCATTAAAGAAGTAAGTCAACTGAGAGAGACCCCTCTAGAATTAAATGAAGAACAGGTGCAAGTATGTGCAGACGTATCCCTCTTGACTCTCCCCCTGAAAAAGAACCCTTAAATTCCATAAATACATGAAATGATAGCAGTGCTGTCAAAAAAAGCCAGTATCCAGTCGGTGTCTGTGATAGCAGCAAACAAATAATGTTGAGCAAAGCCAAGATGGCTGTACAGGAAAGACTGAGGAAAGCAGAGGGAACACATGGGACACTCCCAGTTGGCCCAACCGAAGCCCCGGAGTCTGGGAGGGCCCCGCTTGCTCCTCGTCAGGCCACGACTCTGCAGTCCCGGCAATCCAGCGCCAAAGTTCAGGTCCAGGCCTTACCTCAATGCACAAACAGGTGGGCTCGCCTTTCTCTGTCACAGCGCACTCCCGGCCGGCTCCGCAGAAAACGTTGGCACAGATTTTGGACTTGCTTGTCAGCTCCTCCTGCATGGCACAAAGAGGACACACAGTTGACACAGCAGGTCTTCAGGAAAAGCCGCACAGGGTTGCCAGGTCCCTCCTGCCAACTGGTGGGGGAGTGGGGGGGCTCACCGAGAGCAGCAGGGAGGCCCATCCGATGTGCAGAGATGTGTCTACGTCACTCCCCATGTGCCCCAGAAGTGATGTCACCACATCAGGGCGATGCTCTGGGTATTTGGGTAAAAACTCTATGGTAAACTCGGCTTCCACCACAGAGTTTTTGCCCAAATACCAGAGTGTCGCCCCAGTGTCCTGGATATGATGGTGTCACTTCCGGGGCACATGGGCAGTGATGTAGACACATCGCTGTACATTGGATGATCTCCCTCTTTTTCAGGGTAAGTACCCTTGAGGCCCGTAGCCAGGATTTTAAAATTCGGGGAGCCTTTAAATAAGTTGGGGGGCACCCCGCACAGACACCCCCACAACCCCCCAAGGGAGCACCACAAATAAAAAAACTGGAAGTCGGGGGGGCTTGCTAGTAAGTTGGGGAGCCAGGCCCCAAGATGCCTCACTGTAGCTACAGGCCTGGTACCCCGGCCTGGTCCCCCCCCCCCCGCCGGCCAGCTGATCACCAAGAGGGAGGTGGGGCCTATCAGCAGGGGACCCCTGCCTCCACTAGGGGGGGTCTGACAACCCTAAAGTTGAGACAACCCTAAAGTTCAGACAGGCTAGCGTGCTACAAATACTTTGCCATACTAACGTGAACTGCGTTATAAATCATTTTAAATGGTTTTATGGCTATTTTAAATTTGTATACAATGTCGAGAGAATTTGTTTACACTATTTTCTTCATAGTTCTTTTCAGACGGAGAATGAAGAATAATGTATTTTAGGGAAACTGTTATTGGTAATGTTATACTCCCGAAACCTTGTTGGTCTCTAAGGCGCTACTCGACTCCCAGTCAGTGTTCCCTCTAAGCTGAGTTAGTGTGAGCTAGCTCACAGCTTTTTAGCCTCCGGCTCACACATTTTTGTCTTAGCTCAGCAAGGATGGCTCCGGAGCCAACTAATTTATGCAGCAGCCAAATGGCTCGCTCACACCTTTAATGGCTCGCTCACACCTTTAATGCCAGCAGCTCACAAAGTAGAATTTTTGCTCACAAGACTCCACAGCTTAGAGGGAGGATTGCTCCCAATTTAGCTGTTCTCCCGCGGATCAACACGACTCCCCTCTGGAGCTATTTACAATAGCTTGTTTTTTAACTCCAGTATTCTGTTGTTTTAAATTTAATGTGGCGTTTGATTCCCCAGTCCCCACTTTGCTAGTAAGCTTGGGTATCTATTTGGGCCACTAACAAATAAGTCATTTCAGCCCTGACTTGGGTAGCCCAGGCAAGCCCAATCATGTCAGAGCCTGGAAGTCTAAGCAGGGCCGACCCTGGAAAGTACTTGGAAGGGAGACCTCCTTGGAATACCAGGGCTGGGATGCAGAGGCAGGCTTTCTCGTCACTTATCTGAGTGTCCTCCATCCCCCAGTAGGGATTAGAGATGTGAAGGCCTGGGGAAAAAATGGAAAAATTTGGGGGGAAACTGGTTTTTTTCCGTTTTTTTCCTGAAGACTTTTTTGTTTTTTTCCAAAAAATTGGAAAAATTGAAAAAGGAAAAGAAAAAAAATGATTATGGAACGTTTCATTTTAACACGATGAATAAGATATTTTAAGACAAGGTGTTCAAATATTTTCAAAATCATTTCAAAAAAATATGTATGGTATCAGATTGATCTAATTTCTGTGCACTGAGGACAAGCAAGTCCTAGGTTACAAACTGAACTCTCCAATGCAAGAACAAGATGCATTTCTTCCTTTAGGAGGTGCTATTATCACACGAAAAGAAAAAGGTTTCAGTTTTGTTTTTGCATGTGGGTGGGTATTCTGTTTGTAATAGTTGTTTGGATACACTATATTTTTAATATACTAGTTGTGATAATTTCATGCCAAGTAAAAATGTCCATAGTCATATTTTATGTTCCTAAAGTAACAGAATGACTTTCAATCTGGAAAAGAAAAAAGAAGTGCTAATGTAGCATTTTTTTCAATTTTTCCAAAAATTTCAGTTTTTTCCTGAAAAAAACTGGGAGGGAAACGGGTTTTTTTCTGAGCTTCAAAATTTCCGGAAATTTTACATCTCTAGTAGGGATCACCAGAAGTGAGCCATGACTTCCAGGTACACGCACACAAAAGAATACCCCCCAAAAAGCCATTTCAGGCCCCTGGGCTAAACATGCGTGCTATCATCTGTCCAAGAAATCCACTTCAATGTACATTCTTAATTTTGGGACAGAGTGTATTTAACAATCAGGGCAGGGCAAGAGGATCCAATAACTAAGTCAGGGAATGAAATAGGAATGGTTACCTTAAAGGGCAGTACATATGTTCTGGGAAGCAAGAGAGTCCGAGTTTGCTGGCTTTTGTCGAGAGGGGGCTGCAGGTGCTTGTTACAGTGGTTTTAGCTCTCTTGATGCCAAAGACACAAAAATGCACACAAAACAGAGCTCATACCATGTACAATCTGGAAAACTTGCTTCTGTTATATCAGTCAGGCATACTGTTCTGCCTGCTTTATATTTTTCAAAGTACAGCTACAGGGAAGGTAGACATGGTAGGAAAAAATAAAGTGCAACACCTGTAATTTTTTTCCACCAGAGTCACATGAAACAAAAGTATCCATATTTTTAAAGCTGAAACAGGCTCTTGAAATCAATTAAAATTAACGTCCAGATATTGCTACTCAAAGGACTGCCGTTTTTTTCTTTTGCTCTCTGCCTTTTAAGGGACCCTGTTGTTCCCTGTGCTTTCAGAGAAAGATTTAACCCCCCTGCTGATGTTAAGTGTCCTCAAATGGCATTCATTTTTTTGTTCTTTTCCCCCAGCATGCCAAAGTACAGCCTGATAACTAGCCATATCCTGTACCCGCTGTAGGCAGCAAAGCATTCTACACAAGATGGTGAAAAGGTGGGGATGCCACTTCGGACTGGGGAATCCCTGGAGATTTGGAAGTACAGCCTGGGGAGAGGTAGGACGTCAGTTGTAATGTCTTAAATTCCACCTTCCAAAGTGCCCATTTTTCTCCAGGGGAGCTGATCTCTGTAGTCTAGACATCAACTGTCATTCCATGAGTTGGCAACCCAATGTTGGCAACCCAATGAAGAGGTCTATGATCGTGGCCGAAAAGATTGTGCCTTTTTCTTGTTGTTGTTGTTGTTTTTTTAAGCGTTCGGCAAGATGAACACTGCTGGAGAACTTTAATGTTTACACACTCTTGTTGTTTTTGGTTAGTCTTGGTTAGTCTTAATAAAAGGTATGATTACACAAGCCTTTTAGGGTTGCCAAATGGGCCCGGGGGGCGGGGAATCCCCCGCTTTGGAGGCCCGATTTCCACCCCGTCGGAATCGGGCCCCGGGGGGAACTCCGCCCCCGAAGCTGTGTCACCTCCACGCTGCTCACGTTGGGGGCGTGGCCCAGATCGTCGGGGGGGGGAACCATATGGGGGAAACCTGACGATCTGGGCCACGCCCCCAACGTGAGCACGTAGCACGTCACTTCTGGTGACGTGCTGCTGGCGCGCGTGCGTGTGCGCATCCGCCGAGAACTCCCGGAGCCTGGCGAGGCTCCCCCGCTGCGAGGGGTAAGTAGACTTGGCAACCCTAAAGCTTTTGTTTTTGGATTTTGCTACAGATCAACGTGGCCATTGTACCATTTTTTTTTAAGGGTCCTGAAATGAAATGGATGTGGTTTGCGATTCAGATATTCAACTGCAGGTGGCACTATTGCCCGTCTTTCTATCTGCCACCACAGCTGGCTAAAATGCCGTTTTTTTCTCTTGCCAGAAAGCCACCTCGAAGATATATCCCAAGGCAGGCTGAGTCACCACCAGTAAAAATCGCTGAGACTTTTCCACAGCCCCTGTTCTTTCTTTCCCTCTTGTTTCACAGAATTCTCTTTTCCCTCCATTAATGCCAAAATAAAAAAGGGACAAGAGAGAGACACTTTTAACAATGCACACCTGCCTCAACATGAGCTAGCATGACCAAGGCTCCCTCTAAGCTGTGAAATCTTGTGAGCAAAAATTCTACTTTGTGAGCTACTGGCATTGAAGTTGTGAGCGAGCCATTTGGCTACTGCATAAATTAGTTTGCTCTGGAGCCATCCTTCCTGAGCAAAGCCAAAAATGTGTGAGCTGGAGGCTAAAAAACTGTGAGCTAGCTCACACTAACTCAGCTTAGAGGGAACACTGCCCAACACTACCTCCGAAATCTCACCTATTCTGCCAAGAGTTACCACATCCAAAGTCTGAAGTACCCTTCAGAATGTCAACACTTCCTACCTGCATCAACTCTCTCGTCTGGACTGAGCTCCAGTTCCCCCCCCCCCCCCATCTCATACTTTCTCCAGGGCCTGACCCATGACTTGTCTAAGACCTTGGAATGAGTCCTTTGGTTCAGTGCAGGGTCACTCGGGCCACCAAGTTTCTTCGTTTCCCCATTTCTTTGGATTACTAAATATTATTTAAAAGGTCACATTCAATGGGCAGTGGAGAGGGAGAGAGAAAGAGAGAGCCAAACCCTGGGCTGTACCCCCCTGCAAACATATAAACACAAATACCACCCACACCCCCACAGGAGAAGAGAAGGAGATTGGATTTATACCCCGGGCTTCACTTGGAGTCTCAAAGCGGCTTACAAACTCCTTTCCCTTCCCCTCCCCACAACAGACTCCCTGTGAGGGAAGTGGGGCTGAGGGAGCTCTTTTCAGAACTCCCCTTGAGAGAACAGCTCTGACAGAACTACGGCTTGCCCAAGGTCATCCCGCCAGGTGCAAGTGGAGGCGTGGGGAATCAAACCCGGTTCTCCCAGATTAGAGTCAGCGCACTTAACCACC